CCTCAACGTGTAACTGATGAAGACTATATGGTAAAAGGTCCGTGGTTGCACAGTGCCTCACAGATCGTCCTCGAGCTGCAAAGTTTCAGGGTTCGATTCTGACTGAGAGCAGTTCTTTTCTTAATCAAGAAGTCTTTTGTGCAATGAATTTATCACGCATTGCATCAGATCAGAGTTGCTTAGTGAGAATAGCATCTTTATCAGAACCGAGAGAACCGGTTCAAATCCTGGTCGACATTTTTTGTTCGAAAGTTGATGGATGAGTACCACTCTTTAAGAAAGAAACAGTAGACCCAATATTAACGTCATGAAAAGTAAGAGGACGGGAAGAACAATTGGCTAACGTCTTCCTCCACTCTTATGATTGGGCTATCTTGACGTCATCCTTTTCATGAAGTCTACAGCCATGTGGCAAGCGCAGCCTCACGTGTTTCATTCCCCCAGAATGATATTCACTTACCAATCTCTGAAGGAAGAAGGGCGAGTGACTCCGACCGGAACTTAAACTCAAGAGCTGTCGGTTCGACACCTTACCGTGCGTAAATTTCTTGTTCAATGGAATTCGTGAATAAGACAAAGGTTGCCCCTGAGGGTAACTCAACCCAGCTCCTCCGGTGTTCCAAGCCGGCCTGTAAGATAATTGTGCCAACATGCTACAGTGATATGGAGGGTTTTCAGAAATAAGCGCTTCATGAAATTGTGAGGAAAACCGACATTCTAACGGCCATACTTGTTCATTAACTTCATGTACATTGATATGTTCGAACTACTTATGCCCTTGTCCCTCAGTATTTACCTATCGTTTGCTTTTGCTTGCTCTATCTACGCGATATTGATCGGTACAATCCTGGTTAATGCCAGCATTATCCTCTCATGCTGGTTTGTGTTGCTGGTGATAAATTAGTTACGGTATGCTGTCATACAATGGCTCTTATCTTCGTCATTCATACGCTTCTGTCTTGAAAAATGACGTCATATCGCAGCTCCTGTCAAAGAGTCAAACAAAAGCATATTCAAGCCTGAAGAAGACTCTGCAAAGTTTTTCTATCCTTCATTCCAAAACAATTGATTGATCCGACTGATGTCAACCGTCATTTTCCATGTTCAGAAAGATGAATCGAACGACAAGTGTTAATTCGTCAACATCAGTCATGCACTAGCATAGAAACCACAAACCACTGAAAGACGATCAAGAACATGGAGAGCTCTATGTGTAAAGCGGACAGCTCCTCCGAGCTAGAGCATCGATGAGCACTGTGCAGCGCGACCTTTGATCACCTAGCATATTTCTGCATAGTCTACCACGTTGCTTAAAAACAGCTGTCACAGCTACGAACCAAGCTATGAGGTTTGTGTTAAAAATCCTGAACTCAACGCAGCCGGTACACCTCAGAACGCCATACAAACATAAACACGAACAAACATAATGTACAAACATATACAGTCGACGCAAATCCTCAGTTCAAGTGAATCCATCGAACTTTCCAGCATTCTTCTACAGTACGCCTCAAATCATTTACCTACAGTAGAAACAGGTGGCACGAAACGTCTGGACGAGCAGTGACATTTCGATTGTTACATTAATCCTGAGCGCATCTTCAAGGAAACCATTACCACCGATCCGCTGGCTGTTAGTGTTCTGCATTGAGTCAAAGTCACTGAAAGAGACAGTGGCCCTACGGTCAAGCGGTCGCCCGCAAGAAAGTTAAATCGACATGGTAAAGGTCATTTGGCTGTGAAAGCATGCATGCATGGACATAATTTAATTTTAGAACGTCGATAAGAATATAACTCGTTTTGGGAATTCTTCTTGATGTCTTTGTTGAGCCTCTTCACGTTACAAAATTTCGTGACTGCTATTGCCAGCCAAAATTTTAGGAATGTCCAGTAGAATCCGAGAGGTTGAATGCCATTGGCATCGACCAGCTGTTTCCGTGGCACGTTCGATCTGTAGCCACGAACCCGGTTCCAAGAGTACTCTCATCCCAACGGGAATCAATTACAGTAAGTTGCCAGTTCCTTGCAGGTGGGTTTACCACCGTCAGTTACAGGATTGCTGCGGATCATGCTCCGGATTACACAGTGGTGACGTACTCACCAAACCGTTAAATTTATTTTGTCTATAAATTCAATATATGCATAAAAGCGTATTCAGTCCAGTAAGCTATTTAAAAATTTAGATTAAGCCATGTGCCTCATACCACTTGAAACGTCTTCAGGAGTAGCACCTTTTATTTTAGAGCAGAGAAGAACACTTGCAAGAACCCGAGAAGTCCACAATCGACGGTGCATCTAAGTTTCTACAAGAGCGCAATTGCCCACCCTCGTTTCAGTGATATTCACAGTGCAAACATAAGGCGAGACGGTCTTGTGACTTCAAGTGTTCAATTTTTCGAGTCACTGTTTGAATTGGGATGAACTGATAGAGAGGCGGTCGCAGCCGCTAGTGAAAGAAGATTTTTAGCATCAAGAGTTATGCATTCAACCCAACTTACTTTCACCCTCTGCCTCCTTCAGATGGTAGTGGAAGTAGCTTCAAGAAATGAGGTACTACTCACTCGCTAATTGCACATGACGTAGATTCGCAGAAATGACTCTAGAGCTTCATGATCTCTGATATTATCAGTCCTACATCAATAAATGTTTT